TTATTTTAATCAAGCCAAAGTCAACATGCTGCTTGTAATATTAAGTGATATAACAAGCCCAAATTCAAGCTGCGCTGCAAATTACACTTTGATTTATGGAGCTGAAGATTTATTACAAAATATTGGCTCACACAATCAAAAAGAGCATTTGGCCAATACGAGAATATGGTTGCAAGCCCAAGTACAACAGCATGAATTACTATAATTATATGTGTCCTGAGAAAATTATGTTATTACCTCCAGTACTCTGTCTCTGTACCGCAATAATTCTAACAAAACTGACACATGACTGTCATTTTGGGATTAGTGACTATGCTGAGTCGAGCTGCTAGGACTTCACAGCCTAGTCAAAGAAAGCTGTGGGTGGCTGAGCAAAGAATGAAGCACATTATATGAAAGATATCAACATTATTTATTTTAAAAGACCACCAGTTATCTGACTTCTTGACCTATATACCTCCATCAAAGCAGTGTGTGCAAAGTTACACTGAGAGAGATGGATCAAAATGGAAGAAAATGAGCAAAACTGCTGCTTTCTCTTTGTTGGGTTTTGATGATAATTTCATGGAGAAGTAGCAAGTCACTACTTAAAATGCACTTTTTATTTGTTTTTTATGAGCCAAAGTTACACATAATGACAAATGAGCCAGCCCGCTCAGGTTTAGCTCACTCCAAACTCTCAGTTTCTAACATTTTTTTCTACTCTGGGGTCTTGTTGATGTCACTGAGAGGTGATTTCCTTACAGAGTCACAGGAAGATCCGTTCTCCAAGCACAGCATCAGTTATGAGGAAAGTTAAACTTGTTTGGCTTTCTAGAGAGAAAAGTTTGTTTCACGTCAGTACAGAGCACTCTTTCATCAACAGAGTCCATTATGTTCCTGGATTTCCAGCTATGCTAACACCAATTATAAAAGGTATGTACTATAGAGGGAATGATGAGGAGTTACTGAAATATTTATATGCTAAAAATGATAGATCTCTCCTATTTTCCATACAATGTGGCATTGTGACAAGGCTTCAAAAAATGTGTTTGTATTGGTTCATACAAAGTTACATTTTTGTAGAAGCTTTAACAGTACAGTGACACTGGTAACAGATGTGAGTTTATTTAGGACCTTCTGTTGCTGATCCTTTTCGTCTCTCTGGAATCGGCATGATATCCATTTCTGCAGTCTGTAAAAAGGATTTTCCTTTTTACAGACGGTTTGTCTTTTAAATCGAAGAAGACAGCGTGAAACTGCCATTTATCAGTAAAATAGACAGCAATATGTTTCTGTTCACACAGATAAGAACAGCCAGTGGTTGTTCAGTAGTTACTGCTGCACCACATGGGAAATGTACAACCGGGGGTGCATTTGATCAAAAAACAACTGCCATACAAATGTGTGTGCAAATGTTAGGCTGCTGGTTGTTTTTGGCATTGAGCGCACACTGTGATTACTATCACACTGTGTCTGCAATGAGTCCCACTACAGACAAGCCCATATGCTGAACGCTGGCCTGTTCACTCCCCCTGGAGGCTCCAAAAGCAGACTTAAGTCAAGACTGACTTTCAATGACCTCTTTATCTTTTTTTGTCGGGATCCGATTGCCACTACCAGTCCCCCTCGCCTCAAACCACCCCTCCACGGCCAGGGAGTGAAAATGCAGTTCACACACGAGAGGAAAAATATGGGCCGCTATCACGCACTGCAGCTACTTGGAAAAATCCCAGAAAGCCTCCCTCCTGCTTGTGGTTTCTTTTCTCACTTGCTGCCCCACCCCTCCCCCCCAACTCCATGTCTCTCTTCTCCTCTCAGGGGCAGGAGACATTTATGCAAGGGAGAATTATTATTTTTCCATTTCAAGGTCTTCACAAAACATAGGCCTGCCCCACCTGCCCGTCCTACTCATCCATTCTCGACTCTGTCCCTTTCTACCCGCTCTCTCTGTTTGTCATTTACTCCCCTCCACCTCTGCAATCTCCCATTAACTGCCCTCCCCGCTTTCTCTGCTTCTCTTTTCTTCCTCATTCCCTCTCCTGTTTGTCTGTCTGTCTTCCTCTGGCAGGACTGCTGGCAGCACAGAATTAGTAGGTGAAATGGATTAAGGAGCCAGAATCCAGGGACTTCACTAATGGGAGGTCTGCCTCGGTTGTCTGCTGCTGCTGCTGCTGCTGCTTCTGGCCATCAGCTGAGGTCAATTATCTGAAGGAGCCACATCTGGCCTGGCCTGGTCCAGCTTGGCCTTGTAGCAAGGTCCGTCCGGTCACTTAGAAAGTGGCCCTCCTCCTTCTCCTCAGACAAAATAGAGTGTTGAAGTGATAAAATATACTGATTAATCCAAAGGGGGATAAAGAGAAATGAATGAATGAGTGGATTTTTAACCAGTTAAGAGATTTATCATGGAAAAGCAAGAAGCATTTGCTAGATCAAGTTCTGAGACACGAGGCTCCAAGACATGGTCCATAAAGGGTTATTAAGTTTTTAATTAACTGTTTTTGTGATTGGGTTACAGTTGGAAACTCTTAATTAAACCACAGTTACTGATTTCACAGTATGTGGTCAGCTTGTTTGCTGTCTTCTCAGCACTTTTCTGGAGTATTGATTGCAGGTTGGTCTCTGCAGTCAGTGCAGAATGAGCCAGCGAGTTAGTGGAGCAGAGGCAGGAGTTGCAAGGAGGCATAAATCCAACAGGGGAGGAAGATCCCCCTCTGTTGGGTTATTTAAAAATAGAAAAATATAATTCTGAGGGAGAAAAAGAGCTTTGCTTTTTAATCCTCTGTCTTCTATTATTGTTTTCAACCTCAGTTTTCTAACCACAGAACAATGCACACCTCCACAGAAATTTGTTAAAAAGGAGCTAGTGCATTCACCTTGAGACAATACAGATGACACACACGTTAGAGTGCAAACAGAGGCAATGTGGTCTCTATTAGCAACACTGAAAACACTTGAATTCACTGCTATTGTTTCCAGCCTCAAAGTTGTCCTCCTGCACAAAAAGCAGTTTGAAGGGTGGCTGCCTGGGTCAGTGTTGTACAATGTAACACACAACAGATGCAACCGTCGTCTTATTTTGGTGAGAACTTCCCCGTTCAGATGAATAAACTGGGGCTACTTTAGTGCTCACAAATCATCTTTGTAATATGATATATATATATATATCTGACTTTCAGCATGTGCTTTAACCTCACCAGCGTGTGTGGGCTTAGATGGCCTTGGCAATACAATGTGAAAATTTGACCAATTATACAATATGTATATTCAAGTTACCCTGTAAGTGGAGGCCTAGCAGCAATGAGAAAACTGAATTTAGCAGCAGCATCCCGGGATCCAGCAATGCCATCTGAAAAAAGCATTACACAGTACAGAGCTATGTTATATGTTATGGGGGTCATTTTGCTGGCGGGGTTTAGGGGGTGAATTTTCTGATCCTGATGGGAATGGACTCTTCCAACATGAGAAGGTTCCATTCAAACAGGACAAAGGGATTATGGATAGCTTGATGAGTATTAAAATTATATGAATTATATGGTATGGGCTTCCCAGTCACTAAATTCCAATCCAATTGACTTCTGGGAGATTTCAGGCTGACAAGTTAGCGCTCTCCTCCGTCATTTAAATACCAAATGAAAGAATAACATAGGAGAGTCCCTCCAGCTTAGGTTTCGAGACATGTAGAGTCAGTGTCAAAGTACACTGAAGCTGTTCTGACAGACAATTCATATTTTGCTTTGGGTTTTTTTATGTCACTCGTTTGTGACCAGAAAAACCTCATCAAAGTCATTACCTGATGCTTTGCGCTAAAAGCCTTTCTAATGGCTAATATAGTCACCCAGGCTTGTCAGCATGTAATTAATTACCACTAATTGTGAGAAGAAGCACACCCAGTCCATCACCCCACATTTTAACCTTACTCTTTAACTAGAACAATTACTGATAGTTACTTAAAATCCAGTCCAAGCATCAGTACAACTGCAATTAGCTTCTGTTTGGCTTATTACAATCACATACCACATGGTCAGCGATGATTGAAAATCCAGCTGCATTCAAGTTGATGCAATAAATAAACTATTTGACATTTAGAAATACGATTAAATGAGAAAATTGATATTACAGAACCTGCCCTGTCTCTGATTATTCCATTCATTCAGTGTTTCCTTTGTTTCCCATAGCATGAATCCCTCAATCCAGAACTGTGATCAAGATTTAGTTTTTTTAGGTATTGCACATATGACTGATTGTGATCAGATTTAAGTAATAGAAAATGAAAATGTGAGCAGGGCAGGAGACCTCCAATGTTTTCACTGTCCTGAGGATGTGTCAAACTCCAACATCTCACCCATTTTGTAGAAATTAAAGAAATGGGATGGAACATGTTAAACGAGTCACTGTTGGATGAATTTTGTAACATTCAGACAGTTCATGCTGCCCAATTTTACTTTCTATGCTTAACTAGCAGACACTGACTTGTACTTGAAGTGTTGTCAGGTTCCTCATTTAAAAAGGTAGCAAATCTGTTTGAGCCGACTCTGAATTTAGTTTGGCGATAAAATGAGAATTTACAGCATTTTTTAAACTCACTATGATCAGGAAAGACCAAGGAAGCATATTTATGCTTTATTTATGCATATTTATGTTTATAAACTTGGATTTTCCCCAAAAAACTACAACCAAACACATGAGAGGTAGAAGGCACTGAATTTAGTTCAGCCTTTACAAAATCGCAAATCAAATTAATTCCCTTCCTACTGACTTTGACCCCTTCCACGATCAAGTGACAAAAGGAGAGCATGTGATCTGATGGACTCACATGTAAAAGCTCACTGGTGAGAACTTGACAGAGTACTGCTGACCAATCACGATCCATTTTAATTCCATATGAGAAAATCACTCAGTGATACCTTTCCAGTCTCTGACTTTTGGGGAAATCTAAACCAAAGAGCTTTCATACAGTGTTAATTCAAGATACACTGCATCATTTTAAAACAATTAGAGATGAAACAAGAACATTTGTAAACAGTGTAAAATGTTTATTTTATTTTGACAGATTTTATTTGGGACAAAAATCAGAAGCAGGATATGCACATGTGAAAGACTAAATACATTTAACTCTGTAGTGCAGTCGTCTTTTTAAAGAGTTGAAACTAAAATCAGTGTATCTACAAAGGCTGTGACAGATTGCAGACTAAAGACAAAAAAAAAAAAAAACTACATGGAAAGTGAAATTTTGTCAATAAATTTGGCCATTTTGATGTCCCGTTTTGACAGCCCTCCACAATCATGTGTAGACAGTGTAATTTGGACCTGTGAAGACATATACATGTTAGTGTCAATCACAAGGCAATGACAACATGATCAAAATATTTTCCTAAAAACAACTTTTAAGAGTTTAATAGTTGCAAAAAAAAAAAAAATCCAATAAAATTACATTCTTTGTCATTTCAGAAAACCTTCCATTCTTTTAAATTGTGGTATAGCTCAAGGTTTTGCGTTATTAGGACTGTGGTCACTTTGACAGGTAGGTGCCGGCGCCTATCTGCATCACCAGGCTTTGCCTTTATTCATTCGAGTGACTAAACAGGAGCTCTCGCAACTGTTTGTTTTGGTGGCGCCTTTTGGAGTCATCAGTTATGGGACAAATAATATGGCTTGCTCTGTGGTTAACTGAACCAATATACAGTTTTGTCAAATTAAATACCATGGTTTTACCTGTAAAAATATACTAATCTAATTAGAATCACCCCGTTTTCCAAATATGGGCGCGTCTGGCTCCAGTTGTATAAGCTATTAGGCTCAAGTCAAAATGCTGGTCACAGTCTAAAGGGGGGAATGTTAGAGTAATTATGTCCACCTTTGATTTCCAGTCTGTATTCAAGAGTACAAGGTACAAATCAGATAGCATATGTGTGGCCATCTAGACACAGCTTTCAGTGCATTATGTGTCGCATCCAGTGTTGTGCAACCTTGGAAAAAAATATTAAAACTATCACCTAGTTCTGTGACAGCTCTTGCACATTCTGGTGGAAATATAATGTGACCTTCCTGTGTATTGGTAGGTGTAACTACAGCGTGCAGTGCTCCCAGCTGTGCTGTGGTTTGCCACTTGCAGCCAGTGAATACAGGTTTTGGTTTTTGGTCTCTGTGTGACATTTCTGTGATGACAAACTCAAGCAAACTGCCCACAGGCGCTGAGACTTCCTGCTGCTGTCAAACAATACTCTCCTAAAAACCACTCTCTAATCATACTTTACAAAATGTGAAACTTTGTACATATTGTGATACACATTATAGTTTTATTTGACATAAACTGTGATAACTACTCCTTTCCTGCAGCAGTTTGACCCCCCCGGCTTCCAAAAACATTTTTTGTAAATACCCTTAAAACTGACAACCACCAAAACAGAACAGAAGGTTTAGAGTGAATTTTAGAGAATATTAGCAGCAGCTCAGCATACAGCTTCTGTTTTGTCGAGGCTGTACCTCAGTCGGTGTGGGATTTATGTGTAAGTGTCTGGTGGAAAGTGCTGTGGGGGCCCAGAGACCTGTTGCACCATTGTACAGAGACTTTAATAAAGAGTGGATTAGGAGCAGCATTCCTCCCAGAGCGGCCCGGTCCGCCACACAGTAACTCAGTGGCTACAGCCTAATGCTGAGAGATTTTCAGGGACTGGGTTTGTCATATCAACCACTACTTTATTTGTGAGGCAGGGAAAGTGAGAGAGCCTGTGTTAGTGCTGGGGCTGTGAAGGAAGGCAGACATATTTGCAGAGCTTTTCACAAAAAAAAAAAAAACAAACAAAAAAAAAAAAAACTATGGGAGTAAAGTGTGAACCTGATTTTCTCTTCCTTTTTCTTTTTGCATAAGGAGTGTGTGAAAGCCTGGCTATGGGCCAGTGATAACCGTTTGACATAAATAAATAAATAAATCAGGCTTTATACAAGATCAGTTGCAGTGTGTCTAATTTGTTATTAACAAACCACAAAACTGTAAATATGGCAACAAATCAAACAAACCACTATTGATTTTGCAAGATGCACTTACTCTAATTGACAGTAAATAAACACAGCACTGTAAATGAATCTCCAGTCCCTGTTACCTTATTATAAACATTGAACCATTCTGGGTGATGGTTCATCTTCTCTGCCTGCAGAGCCACCCGTGACATGAAGCCAAACGCCTGTTAGGGGGAAAATAAAATGATGGCTGAATTTATTGCGAGCATGCTTCAAAATGCATGTTTTTAAGCACAAAGTGATTAATACACTGCATTAAATTTGATCCACTTTTTTATAAATAAATAAATAAATGGAAAAAATACAAAAAGATGATCAAATGTTCAGATGTACAAATTCTGCTAAAAGCAAAGTCATCAGAATAACAAACAGAAAAGGACTCCTGCATTTTTAATGGTCAAAATCTAAATTAAAATAAATAAATGTTAACAGTATACACATAATTAGTGAAAACAAATCATTCTGTAAGTAATCTTGCAAAATTGTAACACTTCAACAGAACTATTGATTAGAAAATATAGCGGGCCTGTTTAAAGGGCTCTGTCATCAAATTTGAAATAAGTTAAATGTGAAGTTTCATAAATAATAAATAAAGTAAGTAACGTTTATTTATATAGCACATTCACTGACATAAAGGTCACAAAATGTGGTACAACAATTAAAACACAATGTTAATAGAGAACCATGTTAGGACAGAATAAAAAAGTTTAATACTATATAAATAAAATAATGTCAATCCAAAGCTTAATAAAGTGCAATACTGCCATCTGAGGCGGGGAGAAGTACAAGACGGATTTCTGAATATAGAAGGTCCTCTTGGATGCATGTGTTCAATTTCCACAACCACAAAAGGACTTTAGAGCATGCATGCACACACCGAGAAACATACACACTCTTCATAAGTTTGGCATGTGACTCGCTCCAATCACAGGCCATCCAGGGAGTGATTACGGTTATTCTAATTATCTACAAAGAGGAGAGTGAAATCCCTCGTCATGCTCTCTGTGAGGAGAGGGGAAAAAAAGAAGAAAAAAAGAATCAGGTAGACCTATTTCAGAGCAATTTCCCACTGCAATCTCAATTAAGCCCCTAAATGCTTCCTCTCTGCCTAATTAAATCAACTGAAATGCCATTGTTTACATGCTATGGCTGTGGCCCCATCCACCACCTGACATGACGAAACAGAATTAGCCTCAAAGAGGAAATTGCGTTTAGCCTTTTTAGTGTGTTGTAACCAATTTCTGAGACAGCCTGCTCAATTCACGTGTAGTGCTATGCATGTAACACGATCAGGAGCTTGATCAAATTGGTTATCAAGGAAACCGTCTCCCGATCAATTTAAGTAATTGACATATTCCTGCAACTTGACCTCACTGGCACCAATTTAGAGAGCCGGGCGGTCTGCTTTTTCTCAGTTTTCATTGGCTTTAATGGAGATTGCTAAGCAGCCTGTCATGTCAGGTGTTGTCCAAACATGTCTTCTCCCTCTAAGGGCTGACTTCAGGTTAATATACCACTGAGGAACATTAAGTGACAGGTAAAAGGATTCTGTGTTAACACTTTTGGTTCCTGTACAATGTCCCAGTTCAAAACACTGTGCTTTTTCAGAAACTCCCTTCCTAATCTGTCCCTTGTTATAGAACAAAAAAGTCATCTCGTGGTATTTTAAGATACTTCCGACTGATTAAACATGGTCTATGAATGTTTATAACTCATTCTTCAGGCTAACATTTTTTTCCTTCTTTTTTGACACCATCATTGGTATTAGGGTTTCCACTACACAAGATGTTGGCTGAGACCATGCAAAGTGCCAAATACTGCAGTTCCTCTGGTGTCCACTAGAGGCTTGCTCCAAAAGTGAATTGATCCCCATACAATCCAATGTTAAAGTGCCCAATTTTGCAGCAGAATTTAAGAGTAGACATTCACAGCCTAGTATAGAAAGTGTTTAGGGCTCTATAGACAGTTTCTCTAACTCATCTATCTGGAAACTAGATTTGGGGGTGTGGCCACTTTAACACAGACAACTGCTGTCACACCTCACCTTTGGTCTGCTCCACTGCATTTGTGTTGTAGGGACCTCATAAAGAAGTTTTAATGCATTTATTTGACAAAAAATGGTTTCTACTTGAGTTTTGCTAAATGAAGTTCTGGTATTTTGCTATTTAGCTACTTCACAATAACTGGCAGATTTCAATTTGTTACTTACAAAAATACAACTTAAGAATGGTAACCAAATTTGCTAGTGTTAGCTGACACTCTCATTCAAGAGTGGAAATGTGTGGCATTAGAAAACTGATGGAAACACAGTGTATAGTAACAATATGTACATTACAGTGGCTACGTAAATCCTTTATGGTAGGAACTAGCTTATACTGTACACAAGTGGGTTTTTCAGCTTGAGTACCTTTTTGTTTCAAAGAGAGAAAGATGACAGAAATTCAGTCTACACAGCTTTTAAAACTGTGCTCATGAATGTTTGTGCCCATTAGCATAGCACTTTGCTATGCATACACTCAATAGCAAGGCTGAAAGAACACACTGATGTACACTCTAAAAACTCAACAATGCTGTCTTAGTTGGCGAAAAAGCTAGCTTCAACAGAAACACCAAAATAATTCAATACACACACACACACACACACACACACACACACACACACACACACACCTGAGAAGCAGAATCAATGACTGGCATGGGCAATGAACTTTTTTAACACTCAATTTCACTCCAATAAAAATAAGTTTTGTTGTCTAAAATGACTTCTGTCTTCTCTGCAGTAGGTGCTAAGCTAAAAGCCCAACAACAGCACAAACATGAACAACAACAGGCCAAATGACAGTACACAGCTACAAACATATACACATGGATCTGTAAAGCTTTTTGGAGCACCTATAGGCTACCAGCCCAGTACCATGCTGGTACCGTAAAGAGACAAGCATGCATGTATAGCATCCTACGCTTTTAAATAAAAGCAAAAAAATACAAGCTGGAGAAGCTTCAGCTCATCTTTCTTCCTCTTCTCCCTGTGCACTGCCACAACTTGTACATAAAACTACAATGTCCTCTAGTGCCTTCAGGCAGCTTTTCACTAAAACTACACAACACCGCAGTGTCCAACAGGACACTACTCAGAACAGAGTTCACCGAGAAGAGAAAAAATAAAACAACGAGTTCTTTGTGTGACTTCCGTCTTCTCTATAGCAGGGGCTAAGCTAAAGGATCAACAGCAGGACAAACACAAACACGAGTAGCTTACATTTCCAGCTGTTCCACATATCTTTGACACCGTCCCCATTTGGCGGCAGACAGCTACGACATGTAGGTGTGCATTTACTGATTATGCTCGCCGCCTGCGCTTCATCAATCCTATGCTAAAGTTATTGCTAACCACAAATATTAGCAGTCTTATTTTCACTGAAGACTTACATAAAATACATAGAAACAATCAATTTATTTGCAAATGTGTAAAAATGTGACAAGCTAACAAAAATTAAAAGCATGACAAATGGTTTCACTGGTGAACATGCAATTAAGCAACTTCTTAAAAAGAAAGGTTTGTCATGTTAGCATTGTTTCCAACAGCCTAAAATGATTATAAACAATAGGAATGAATCCCTCTGCAAGTATTTATTTTTTCTTGTTTAGTAAATTCAAGGATTTTAATCATCAAATGTAAATGCAGATTTCATAACTTTAATCCTGCAACAGCTAAACAGTATCATGACGTTTGCCAATGATCAAGAACAATGTATTTTGAATTATCTAACCATCCATCCATTTTGTTTACCCCTAATTCATTCAACTGAAACTGCACTAAACCGGACTAGTTTATATTGATAACCCAAGATTGAAAAGTGCTGTATAACATGGAAGCTGCACTGCTTTTATCATAAGTATTGTCACACTTTCCAAGACATTTCCTGTCCCCATTCAGCTGTCAGTGATGTGCAAATGAACCAAAGAGCATTTGGAGGGAATGGGAAACATAAGATGACTGTTAAGTATCATGAAGCCTGATAAAAGAAACAAAAATGGAGAGAAACAAGAAAAAAAAATTAAATAAAAGCAGTAATCTCTCGCTACAAATGAATTGGAGTCGAATGTCAAAATAACCTGAAATAGTGAATCCAGAAAATAAATCCTGCCCTACATCAGCCTTTTCTCAACAGACAGTGCTCCCTTGGGGGCAGTAAACAGAGCATGAGGAAACAATACAGGCAAAGTGACAGTGCTGTGCCTGTCCGTCATCTGTAGGTCATCTCAACACCCTCCACTTGGGCCAAACAGAAATTAAAACCAATCCTCAACTCCCAGATGAGGTCTCGTTTCAGCAGAGGTCAAGGGCTTGGCCTCTCAAAGTGCTTTGTTTATCCCATTTGTATTGTACGGGCCACACTTCTCGAGCCAACAGGTCAGCCAGCTAGTCGGCTATCCATCCTCTCAGCCAGCCAGCCAGCAGTTCTCTCCAACTGGCCCAACAAGCTGTAGCTGTCAGAGTCACATAATTTGACGTGACATTATGCAGGCCCCCATCTCAAATAATCAGAAACACCCGACAGCAGACCGCCACTATGCCCCTCTCCCCTCCACACACACACACACACACTCTTTTGAGGAGCCATTTTGGTGCTATTACAGCATGATTGTCATACAACACTGGATGAGACAATTTGACGTCGGAGCGGAGTGGTGTTCTCCCTCTCATTGCGGCTCTGGGCTGGAATACAGGACTCAGTTTCAAACACATGTGTCTGTTATTTACAGATCGGCTTTCCACCACCCCGCGGTCCAAGGGCTTAGAAACGCCTGCACTGCTTTGCCAGGACTAAGTGCATGCAGATTGTGCCCACCCTTACTAGCCTCTGACAGACACACACTTTCACACTGGTGCATGCACAAATGTACACACACAAGCCACCTCGGCATATGCGCGAGTATTCGCCGACACGCACGCACAGGAAGACGAGCCGCTCTCCTCCATTACACACCGCCATGACTACCCGATGATTACTTCGCTAGCCCCATCATCACCCGCGTCAGCGTTAGCCCCCTGGAAAACCTTCGCTCCTCTGCAAGCGAAGAAAGCTGTGATTTCGATGGCGGTGGTTGTGGTGGTGATGATAATGATGATGACCACACCTCATTTCTCTTCTTTCCCCAA